GTTAATGGTACGATTGGAAGCCATGAGGTTGAGTGATTCTATATTTTTGCACTATAAGTGCATTCTGGTACCATCATGTACATATATTTTGCACTATTTGTGTGTTCTAGCACCAACGGTACGTTTTGTTCTGGCAGTTACAACTGCATATTGTGCACACACTCATTTTGACTCGTGTACCTAGTATTCTCATTTGTGTACGTTAGGTTATTTGCTAAATGTTCTGAAATATGCAGGAATGACTTATTCAATGAAAGTAAATCTTTCTTTAAATGATTTTTTCTGTGAAAATGAATATGGGTATTCTGAAATGATATTTTCAGGTTTCTGATTAAAGAAAGAGATTATTCAGTCTATTATTATGTTCTTATATTTTATATAAGATATTTTCTATAAGAAATATTTATTTATTTATTCTTACGTCGATATAATTTATTTTAAATAATGTCTCACTAAGTTGTTACTTAGCATATGAATATTTCATGCGTAGGTAAAGCAAAATATCAGTCACTAGAGTAGGGAGCATAACAGACATCACTTTTTGAGGATCGCATCTATTCCAGTATCAGTACGATATTTATTGCTTTTGACTTAATTAGTTGGCATGTATATTAAATATATGTATTTGGTTGCTCAGGTAAATTAGTTTATAATTCGGGTTGTATTATATAAATTAGTATGAGTGGTATGTATGTTAATAGATATAATTAATATTTTGCATGAAATGTAATTATTTAAATTATGATTATAATCATATTGAAATGGATTTTTACCTACGTAGTTTTTGGTAGTATTATTTTTAATACGATAAAGCATCAAACTACCAAATTGTTACCTAAAATTGGATCTGATTTTAAGATCAAAATATTAAATTTTAAGTTAAACGAATTATAAATCTTATGAAAAAGGGAATTAATGAGCAAGTATCAAAAAGTTTTAATGTGAACCAATTTTATTTTAGCAAGTGATTAATAAGTTGATGTGATATTTTTAATTCGTAATTGAGTATGCTCACGGGGTTAAGAGTATTACAATTCCTCAAGCCATTCACATACAAACAAGATATGAGAAAGCAATTTTTCATAAGAATCAATAAAATAATAATAACATTGATAAACTGTCACAATTTGAAACTGATTGTAACTATATGAATATCTTAACTGTACGGCACAAACATGGGTAATAATATCCAAATTCCAATAGTAAAATCATCAAGAGTTTTGCATACGGCAACAACGAACTATAAAGTAAAATACACACTCATTGAATATATTTCATAAATCTTCAATAAAAATAATAATTACCCTAATTCAAACATCCACACACACAGATATATATATATATATATATACACACACACACACGTATTGAATATATTCACGAAATCATATGTGATTTTCGTAAACAAATAATGCAGAATTGCAACATACCAATGAATTACCCTAATTTGAAAATCAATTATTCGCAAAATCTAATGAAATCAGTTTCACATAAACTCAAAGATTATGGATTATGAATTGAAAAATTTAGCGATCAAAGATTAATAACCTAATAAATCAATATCAATACAAAAATTTTATACGAAAGTTTTAATCTCATAAATCATAAATCTTAAAATCAGTTGATTCTTAATGATTCAACATGTGTCACTTGTTAGAACCAAACCATAATAATTATGAAAATAAATCAAGATTTAGCCTTTACCGAGGACATGACGTCTGATAGAAAAGTATGGAGACTTAGGACCAGGGTAGTCGAGTGGTGTGGGGTCACAGACATAGGGTGTATCATCTCTGCCTTCTTTTTAATTGCCTTTGTAGTAATTTCCATTGACCTCTACTTTTTATACGTTTCTGTCATTAGATTTCATGAAGGTTTAAAACTAGGGTAGTGGAGTAGTGTTGTCTTAGTTTAGGTTTTAACCCATTTGACTTTATTCCTTCTCGTAGTTTGATATCGATGACTTCTGTGTATCATTCTCTGCATATGAAGACTGTTCAACTATGTATTTATTCATTTATACATGCATTGTATTTTACCTTTATTTTTAATTTTCTGACTGCCGGAGGTCTTACACGTAAGCTTCTCTCAACCTGACGTTGGGGGCAGCCTACTACCCTACCTCCTCCTTACCCCATTACATATGGGAATAGAGTTTTGTTGTTGTTGTATAACTCCTTTATATAGCTGATTTAAGAATTAATTTTTATATATAATTATAATTCTACCCCTCATTATATTATAAATACTTCAATAATATCTACACTTGTATTTTTATAATACTTTTAATATATTATAACTTTATAACATAATTGATCACTTAATTTATGTTATATTTTATGACAACGATATACATTAATATGAATATAATTATGAATTTTAATTAAACAAAATCAAGACCAAATCTAACCTCAAGATATTATATTTATTATTATTCAAGAGAAAAGAGCCGAGTGCCAGCCCACATCATTCCCTCCGATTCACATGCTTTACATTAGAGGTATTCAAATTCGGGTATCTGAGTTTTTAGGCACCAAAATTTCGGATACCCTAATCTTCGGATAGTAGATTGGTCGGACCGTGTCCCGATCTGATTATTACGGATACCCGATAATCGGGTACTCAAATTTTGCAAGTGCTGTAATTCGGGTCGGGTAATCGTTACCCGGTTTTTTATCATTTGTTTTCCTCTGCAGCTTCTCCATCACTTGTTTTCCTCTGTGGTCCATAAAAAGATTGTGCCTAACAACATAGTTTTCGCCATCGGCTGAAACGACGATACCGGTAAACCGAGAGCCACACGGATCATCATCATCTTCTCTTCTTAAAACCTCCACTGAATTCCCTCTTCTGAAATTCATGATTTTTAAACTCTAAAAAAATGCTTCAACCCTGGGTAACAAGAGTAAACAAAAGGAAAAACAAAATCAATTCTGCTTGATTCTCCCATAACATTTGAAGGTGTTAAACACAAGGATCAATGGATGCTAGCTGGCAGATCTATAAACTGGATAACAGATACATGAACAAACCCATAAAAACCAGTGTTTGTTTACGTAATTTGGTCAATCAGCAAATAAGAAAGAGAATAAACAAAATGCTTGAAAACCAAATACCTAGAATTTGATTTCATGTAATTATGAACATCACTAAAACAATTAAACAAGATTAGTGAGAATCCATACAGAGCTTACAATCAACACAGACCTCTTGTTCAATTCAAAAACTTTTGATCAAATTATATGATTCTGACCTGGGATTAAAAGAGAAAATAACAGGGCGCAGTTCAGTGCGGATGATCATGACCGCATATTCAAGCAAAGATAAAACCGGGTACTCTGTAACCGGGTAACTGAACAAATTAAATTTTTGTGATCCGGGTCCAACCCGGGAAATGTGGCTGGGTACCCGACCCGGTCAGATTTTTTTAAAAGAAAATTATCCGATTTTTTTAATTCGGATTGATGGATCAACTAATCAAGTCAACCGGGTATTTTTGAACATCGCTACTTTACATTGCTCTCTTTTCTTGTGCTTCAATTTCAATTCTCCAAATCCCAATTTTATTTATTTATTTATTTTTGGGTGGGAGAATCTGCCACTGCATAATCAGTTGATAAATTCAATCTTAAATAATGCATGGCTCCACCACCAGTGAAATCTTTGGTTCAGACTGAAAAGTTGTCCTGCTAAAGAAGATGAACATCAGCGAGCTGGATCGCATCCAAATACGGACATATGGTCAAATGGTGTTTTGCCAGTGTCGGTCTGGAATACGGGATAGGACTAGTCCGCTGGGATCAAATGGAAAGATTGTTGTTTCGGTTGGAGAGGAAGACAGTATCATTAAATCGGGGATTTGTCTCCATGTGACCATCAGAGACCAGTGCAGCATCTTCTAGCAGTTGCGGAGCTGCGTGAAACTGAGAGATGGTTTGGCATAAAGATGGTTTAGAAAGATTGTTGTTTGCATTCCTTTGAAGAAGGAATTCCCCGCCAAAACTTGTTTATAATGATCGGTTCAATGTTGATCACTTAAGCTCCCAGTTCCCGATTACTGATATGTACCAGATGGCCGAGTTGGATAAAGCTCTGCCCTTCGCAAGATGAAATTATGGGTTTGAGTGTGAGCAGCCTCTAACCCTGCTGCAGAGCCGGGACTGATAAATTATTATTGAGCAATTGAACAAAGGTGCTGGAAAAGAAAATGCTTACAACTGGTTGCTCTGTTTTACGATTAGCAATTGCTTTTGCTGTTTACAGCCATTTCAACAGATCTCAAGCTTTTCTTGTAATTTACAGCCAAAGTGAAAAGCAAAAAGTTTTGCAGTGATACTGTGCTGTAGATTGGTGAAAGGTAAAATTTCACATTTAAGAGCAGCAGCATTCCTGTGTATGTACTTTTAAATTCTGAGAATTTATTGAGTTCCAATATTAATACAAAATCGATATCTATTCAATTGTCCATTGTCCATATTTAGATATTTCCGCCGTATGACCCCTGAAGACTCGTTAAGCTCATGTTGTGAAGTTTATAACTTGCTGTTTGTAATTAATTATAATTCAAACGATTGGTTGGTATTTTCGTAGTAGTAACATGGCAAGTCTGCTGCATCAGTTAAGACTTACGAGTTGCATAAGAATGTCAAGCAGTTACTAATTGATGTTGAGGTCTAACTGGGAGTGTTTTGGACGCTGTAGAACCATGTTGCTATGATCTGTATGCAGAATGCTTGCAAATTTCAGCAAATATTCCGTAGATCCAATCTTCATTCCCATGTCTGACTATCTGGATTCTGGAAACCTTAAAATGAAGTTGTAGATGAGCAGGATTGCTTGTTTACTGAAACAGATGAAAGTTTCTCAATATTTGATGAGAAAAATTCTGTATTAACAAACCTTATCTGTTCTTGTCGTTCCACTCCATGCTGCTCTAGATATTAGAATATTAGTTTTCAGACACAAGATTGATAAGAAAAAGTAATGAAACTTATTCCACGAACACATTAGATTGTTCATCCCTAAATATAACAAGCAATGTAATGTGTATTTTGATACACGTTTCTTCTATTACCACTGAATTGGGTGTTCCAATGCAGCACTTAAGAGCACCTGCTTATTTGTTTGGGTTTGATATTTACATGTGATCATAAATATAAAAATAGCTGAAGAAGAGAATAGCCATCGATTTGTATCGTAAACCATGTTTCCTTTTGCTTTCTTCTATTCAAATTCCAACTCAGCTATGAGGCGAACAAGGAGACTGCATGGCTTCTACCGATGCTTTGCAAATGGGGCACCAATTCTTCAACCCCAACCACTGCTGTATGCACTCTACGTGATAGCTATGCTCACACTGCAACCTCCCTACTTCATCTCCAACAAAATACTCTTCCTGCACAATCAAATCCATTGCACTCACATCCAGAGATGACCTAAGGAAACTAAATACCATAAACCAATGTACCTGACATATACTGCATTTCGCATCAGCCTTTTCAACCTCACAGCTAACTTTTGCATTCTCCAAAGGCATTTCCCCATAGACGCTTTTTTTAAGGCATTTTGACATTGCTTCTTCAGATAATGCAGTGCTCACGTTACCCATCCTCTCTTCTAATGCTAGTAATTCCTATATTTATACCAACACAAACCACTACTTTAACAAGAAGCATATAGTGGGGAAGATAAGAAGCAAACTTCATACCACTATAGTGAAACAAAAACAAACCTCATATGACATGTTATCTATATCCAATCTCATGTCTCTATGTTGGTCGTAAAAGTTCAGTCCATTGAGGAACAAGCTGGTCTCTAGAACAAGTAATTGCTGCACAACAGAAACAGAATCAACAAAAAAGAACAATCAGGCCAAGTGAAACACTTCAAAATTTAGTTACCTCATATGTCAACTCTTCATCTTGTTCAATCCTCTCAAGTGTTAATAAAACCTGTGTAAACATAAAACCACTGTTTCATACAAAGCTTTAGTAACACGGGAATACTATAAAAAAAGCTACTAATGATTCTATATTGCCTCTCCCTGGATAGAACTTCTAACACCAGATAATTTAAGCTATTAATGGGCAAAAGATATTTGCAACCACACTATATTCCTTCTCTGAGTTATATAGGATGATAAATGAATAACAGTAAAGTTATACATCCATGTATAGAAAAAAGCAGGTTGAACCATACTGTTAATATACCTCTGCAATGCCGTCCATATTGTATCGCCAGAAGCTATCCCGGTTCACCGAACGGCGGTTAATGCCATTGTCAGAAGGAATAGACGGCATGATACTGTGTAAACTCTCACTTATTCTCCCTGGTCGACAGTAAGAAATAGCAGAAGTTGAGCTAGTTTCTGAGGATACGGGAGCACTCAAATCGACAGTAACATCACATTGAGGCACTTGCTGCATGACTACAGGGGACTCATTCAAAGTTAAATTACTCCCATTTTCTTGGTTAGGGAGTCTCCCTCTGACATAACTACTGCTTGGTCTCCGAGTCCTAACTGAAGAAGCAACACTACCACCACTATTAGGGGGCCAATTTATGGCTCGCCTTGAATCAGAAATAGGAACTCCATGACTATACCTGTTGTTCAGTCCCTCCAAAGCTGATCCCCCCAACATCTTTCCCCCGGTTGAAGAACTACCTTCTCCACCAGCAGTTCTCTTTTTTACTGTATCTTTCCTTCTGCTGAAGCTTGAAGCAGGAGATGAACAACCCGAAGGAAGAACATCAGAAATAGAGTTGCATCTTATGTTTCTGAAGCCGTTGCTTGTGTTGGCATGAGTAGCCTGGGAAGCACTTCGAGAGACCAAAGTAACCGATGGACCAGCAAGAGTATCCTGGTTTCCCAACCCAGAACACTGAATAAGGTTTCTCCTTGGTCTTGTGTTTGATGCCGCACTAGAGCTACCAACTTCCATCACGCTAACTTCCCTAGAATCAGCATCTTCAGATTTGGGATGCAACCCTCTTTGAATCTTTCCAGGTGGGGATATGAGCTCTGATACTTCTGGTTCATCCTGAACACTATTAGTTTCAGACGAATCTGTTTCTAGTTGAGATGATAGCTTTTTCTGAGGATTTGTAGAGGATTTTCTAGAGTTGATAACTGCAGAGTATACCCTAGAGGAACTTCCAACTATTTCCTTGCCGTTTGATGAAGAGAGGTAAGAAGGCCTCAAAGATTTCGCTTTTTCTGAGCAGCCGCTGGAAGTACCTTTCCAGGAATTCAGCCTGCCACTGGATCCAATTCGGTTGCAAAATTGACCACTTCCTTCTGTGTTATTAACATGACCCTTCAAGATGATACCGGATCCCTTTCCAGGTACAACAAGCCCATCAGCAGCTCTTTTACTGGAATATCCATCCATGACAAGTATCCTTTATATCTGGAAAAACATCAAAAATAAATGTAACATATGGCAAAGACAGAATCCTCCACCATTACAGCAACGTCAGCGCAGGAGAGCTAAAAAACCTAAAATCCAAACCAGCATGCATACAACAGGAACCTGCCATAATTGATTTGACATAATAATTAAAAACATTGCCTCTCAAGATTTTCTTGTACAAAAGCATTAAAAAAGGCAAATATTTTTTTGATCTTCCAAGACATGGTAACTTTCAAACTCAACACTAAGTCACTAACACAGATAAAACCCTGAAACTAATAGAAGAAGCACAAGTGGTCATATATAAACCAACCCCAAAATACCACTTGCCACTTGGCCTTATCATAATCAATCAATCAACAAGGCAGTTGCCCATTAGGTTCAAGAAATCCCCGAAAGACAGTGACAGGCAGCAATAGTTGAAGGCTATTCAGATTTGGAACCATAAAGGTTAAGTTTTGAAATCTATTTTGAACCTAGTATAATCTGTACTGCAGTATAACCTATGCACACACCTCCAACTAACAAGGAAAAGTTGCAGAACCTAGTCCTAAACCCCAATTAGAAACTCATTTCTATATCACTATCTACTTATTTATTCACCAAGAAAGGAAATTTTAATTTTCCTTGACACAGAAACAAATTATGCTAGTATTGCATAACGGATGACAAAAGAGCACCTGAAAACGGAACTGAGCCAATAAGAAAAGGATAGGTGGACAGATACTTGAGAACAAACAGAAAAAAGGAAGGCAACTTTGTTATACAATGATCAAACACGTTGAAAGAGAGGATTTGGGAGTTTTCTTAATTTCCTTTTTTAAAAAGTAAATAAATCAGAAAATGTGAAAGGAGATGAAAAGAGCAAAAGAAAAGGAGAGACAGTCACATGCTCCAGAACTGTAATTGATCCCCAACAAAAGTGGGTTTCTCTGTTTGGTTGATGTTTTGCTTGAATTATTCTCCACACAATCATTTGATTATTTTTTTTTCTAAAAAATAAAAGAGACTTGGTCCGTGATCTATTGGTTGAAAAAAGCTGATCACCCTTCATATCCAAATTGAACATTTCTTCAAATATTTGTCCATCCCCTTTACCTTCCAAACTACAGATACCATGTTCTTCTCCCCAAAGAAGAATGAATCAAGTCATCCACAGAACTAATCAATCTTTCATATATAGCATATATAATACGTCTGATTATGAACAAAAACAAAATCCGATTAAAAGAAAGATCTTTTTCTAATTATTTGAAAAAAAAACAGAAAGAAAAGATCCTTACTTGCTAAAGATTTTTGTGTGTGGATGAAACTGTACCTATTCGCTTGCTTCACCGTTTTCTGGTATTTGATTCTCTGATACACGAATAAAGAGTTTTGAAGTGTTAGATGAAGATGAAGGTTGTGTTTCAAATTTCAACTTTATACAAGAAGCAAAGACGTGTATGAAAGAAGGAAGAAGGAAGAAGTAAGAAGAAAGAGGCAAAGGCATAGCCAGAGCTTGTGAGCCAAACCACTTAATCCTTTGTACGTCTATATATAATCGAATTAGATAGGCTTTGAAAGGAAAACAGGCAATACATAAAGAAACAGATGCCTACCAACACCAGAAGAAGGAAGAGTGCGTGTTGTGCGGCCGATTACCGTCCCCTCTTAACAGCAAATTGGGACCCCTTGTTTTTCTCGATAAATTATTAACACAAAATGTGTTCAAAGTTAAATTATCCTTCTTCTTTTTTTCTTTTTTTTTTTTACACAACCCAACATTAACAGCCTTGCCTCTTATTTTCTTTTATGCATAATGTCGAATTTACTCCTTTATATTTGTTTAAATTATCACTTTAAAACTATTTTTTTAACATTTTAACCATCACACATTTTAGTTTAGGCCAAAAATATCTAGACTTGGTTTAATGTGAAATACTTGCTTTATGTGAAAGAATCTTATTTTTATTTTCCTTTTTTGACACGAAATTGATTTAAAATTCTAATTAATTAACTAAAGTGTAACATTTATGTATGAATAATTCTTCTTTAACTTGAAACAAAATCTGATATAACAAGCAAAGTATTATACATTTATTAAGGTGCATTTAAAACGTAGATGAAAGGTTATCTGAATGGACGGACGCTTAATGGCCGTGGCTCCTACGTCCTTTTCCTTACTTACTTGCCACCCCTGCTTTGTTACTTTCTATTGGATCTCCCCCTCCGATCATTTTGGGATCCCAACCATTTCGGTTTTAAGATTTTTAAGTCATTATAAATTTTAATTGTTCGATTTTTTTAAATTAAAATCATTATAGATTTATTGTAAAAATAATAAATATATGGCAAAAAATTCATTTTATCTCCGTCATTTTATGATTTTAGAAATAATGTGATATTTTTTCTCTTTTTTCTCTCCATAAAAATATTCATCTTTGCGCTCTAAAAGCTCATTATGCCCAAATTTTATGTTTTAAATTGTGATTCTCTTAAAATTAAAAGTATAAATCACAATCGACCATTATCTTTCCTGTTGAATATCAATAGAATTCATATTATTTTACATGTGAATATTGCTTATTTATATTATTTTGCATTCTTATAAACTTAGGTCACTTTAAATTTAAATGAACATGAATTTTGAATTGCATAAATTTAAATTATTAATATTTATAGTTAAATTGAATTAAAATTTAGGTTCATCAAATTAATTTTTTAAATTCGAAACATAATTATAAGATATACTTGAACCCATCTACCCTCTACCATTTCTTATAGTAATTTTATTTTTTTCAATTGAAAAATAATAATTTTTAAAATATGACGCGGGCCCACTAAACCAACTTCACCCCACAATTGCAATTAGGAAAGACAATTTGATTGGTTAGACTTTAAACGACTAGATACTTGACCTCATTTGCAATAATCAATTAAATCAAAATAAAAAGTAAAAAAAATACTAAAAAGTTAAATTATTTTTTCTTACGTCTATAATATGATTAAATTAAATATTTTATATGATATACTTTTATAAATATTTTTTTAATAAATATTATATTTAATTCATTCAGAACCATCCCGGTAAATAATTTTAGTAATAAAAATTATTTATATAATAAGAATATTTCTATATTCCAAAACTTTAAAACTTATTTGGGTAAACTACGCATTTAGTACTTGAACTATTAGTTTTGGTTTGTCTTAATATCTAAAGTTTTATTTTTTTCAAAATCACGCCTAACATTTGGTGTTTGTTTCATTTTAGTACCCATTATTAAAAACACTAACGATATAGCTAATGTAGCCTTCCACTGGTAAGTACTGCAGCAACAATGGGTGTACTTCACCAATCGATCATCTATGACCACCGCGCCGACTGCCATCATTGATATCCGGCCAACACCAAACTTCGCCAGCTGGCTCGAATCGACCTCCTGATCATGAATCAGAAGTCCATTTTCCCAGAATCGTTGTCGTTTGTCGTAGATATTGTAAAAAAAAAAAAATTGGCTCCTTCAAAGTAAAACAGTTCCATTTGCTGCCGTTGATCGTCTAATGGGGTCAGATTTGAGATATATTGTCCTCACCATCAATGGGAACATCTTCACCATGGGAATTTTCCAATTGATGCCTCCATCACCGGAAACATAAAACCCCGCCTTCATGTATCGTTTCTTTTTATTTCCCTTGCCCTTGCTTCGACTAATATTGATTTTTGGGGAGCTCTCACCTTCAACCGTCTGACTTGGAACACAACCACCACGGTTAGATAAGAGACCAACAAGACGACTGCTCCCTTGTTAGTTAACCGTCGCTTGGAGAGGAGGCCATCGAGAGTGGTGGTTATGGGCCGGTTCCCTAAGGGTCAAAGATAAGGCTGGACTAGGCTTGAAACGGGGCTAGGTGTTGGCCGATTCAACTATTTTGGTAGATCAACCTCTCTTTTAGGTTTTTAACAGCGATGTACTAAAATAAAACAACAATTGTAAGATTTTGAAAAAAAAATGAAAGGCTAGGTACTAAAATAAAACAAAATTGATAGTTTAAGTACTAAACAAGTAGTTTATCCTATTATTTTCTATGTTTTAAAAATAACTAAACTCGTGTTATACATATTTTAGGCGTTAATTAATTTTGGTTACAATAATTAATATCCTAATAATACATTTTAGAGATCGAATTGAGTTGATTGGTAAGCTAATGGGACTAGTCAACCAACAAGTGATGGAATGAATATCCTAATTAAATCCGGTGAGAAAATATTTGACTTTAATGAAGAAATGCTAAATTCAATCTGCACTAACAAATGAAATTCTCGTGCAACTTTATTGTAGAGGATAAATTACCAAGTTGCTACCCAATTAATGCAATATTCAATGTCATGGAATTTTATGCCAAAGATAATTTTTGGGATGGTTTACGATTTTTTTAAATAATTTTTTATTTTATTTTTTATAAAACAGTGAACATACAACTAATTAGTGTCTTGGATATCCTTAAGCATTGTAGAAAACAATTTCAATAGCGACTCCATTAAGACAGTAGCACCAATTGAGGCGCCTCGACTCAACGCAACCACCCTATTCGCACCAACGTTTTACTCTCAACAGATATGTCTATCTATATAACCCAATTAAGATCATGTAGTTCATGAACTTTGGAAATCAAGGCGTTTCAACTAACACATCAGACGAATTATTACAAATCTTAGAAACCTCAAAATTATTATTTTCAAGCTTGATATATTGGTAGCCTAAACTCCAAGCATGCATCAGAAGGTCATGCATAGTGTCACAAATCGCCAGCCCATGACCGAACTCAATGCAATCAAGGCTGCCAAGGACTATCTTTACCACATTTTGGGCCTTCTAGAAGACCCAAGTGAGCTGACCCAGTCCACCTTGGAGACATGATAATTGTTTAGCATTATCTTAGAAGATAATGATGCCAACTCATTGCCCACTTGTTGTAAATAGTGTAGAGCTCTCATCTTAGCCATTGATGTATTTTAATCCCAACCGTTCATTGTAGGGGACTCCAACTATAAAAGGAGGCTCACCCCCCTTAATTTACACACCTCAAGTTGGGAAATACAAACTAGTATTCACTCTCAAATCTCTTCTTCCTTTGTGCGCCCATCTCTTTGTTTCCCCATTTCCTTTGGGTTTTCCAACGTTCTAAGCATTCTATCTTAGTGAAGGTTCGGGTCACTTAGCCGATTTTCGACCTTGAAAACGTCTAAGGCCGCACGAGCTTGCTAGCAGCAGTATAGCCCCGTGAAAAGTGGTATCAGAGCATGTCGTTGTGGGCAAACAACGATCTTTTCGACCAAGTTTGGTGGAAGGTACGAAACCGGGTAAGTTCTGTTTACTCACAACTCGTTCAATTTATTTTGCTAACTGAGGTGGCACCATAACATGGTGATGTGGGAGGTTCCGATGGAAATGAATCCCGGAATGCTGGAAAGAAGAGAGCACCATCGAGAGATGTTCTCGCATCCCTCCAAGAGAAGGTTACCAGGCTCGAAGGATCCATGGCGGATGCCCAAAGAGTGCTGGACACACTAGAGTCCGTAGACCTTGAAAGGCTGAGATCATTGGATCTCGACAAGCTAGAATCATTGGATTCTATTAAGGATGATGTTCAGGATTCACTCAATGGGTTGGATGTGAAGACAACAGATCGAGGTAATTCCTTGGAAGCCATGGTAGTAGCTTTAAGGAAGGAAGTTGAGGAACTCAAGAGCGAGGGTTCCTATTCTGAGGTGGCAACATTAAAGAGGGAGGTCGAGCTGCTCAAGACCCAGCTATTGGTGTGCAAAGCTGCGTTCGGAAGTGGCGTTGCCACGGTTGCACCCAAAGCCTTGGGCGACATCTCTAAGCCGGAAAAGTTCAAAGGGTCCAGGTCAGCCCAGGATGTCGAGAATTTCCTTTGGAGGCTGGACCAGTACTTTGCAGCCATAGGCATCACGGAGAATGCCAAGAAAGTAAGCATCGCTAGTGTTTACTTATCCGAGGTTGCCCTCATGTGGTGGCGACGTAGATGCAACGATGTGAAGCGTGGTACCGCTCCCATCGCAACATGGGAAGAGTTCCAAGCGGAGTTCAAGGAACAATTCTACCCAGAGTATGCCGAAGATGAGGCGCGGTCAAAGTTGAGGCGTCTCAAGCAAGAAGGGTCATTGAGGGAGCATGTTCGAAAGTTTGTCGAAGTAAGTCTCCAAGTCCCGAGTTTAAGTGAAGATGACGGGTTCTTCACCTTCTTGGATGGGCTAAAACCATGGGCGAAGAACGAGCTAAGGCATCGAGGGGTCAAGGATCTCTCGACTGCCTTGACAACAACCGAGTCAGTCATTGAGCTTGGCGTCAAGAGTGTGGACTCCAAACCAAAACCAAAGTTCCGAGGCAGCAGTGGCGATAGGGATAGGGCGTCTAGATCTGACAGGGATTCTAGTGGCAGAGGAAGGCCATCGAATAGCAAGCACTTGGATAAGAAAGACAAGCCGATTATCCAATG